TGGTAGGCCTCCTACTTGGTTCTTCCTTTTAAGAAGTTCTTTGCTTACCCTGGGCTTTTACCTGCCCGTATGAAATTGGTCATTATTTTTCCCATTTAAAAAAAGAATTTATTTGGGATTGGTATAGGTATTGCATTGTATCTGTAGGTTGTTTTAGGTAACATTGCCATTTCCACAATATTAAGTTTTCCTGTCCCAGAAGCATGGGATATTCTTCCATTTATGTAGGTCCTTTTTAGTTTCTTATCGTAATATTCTGTAGTTTTTTCTGTATAGTTCTTTTGTTCCTTTAGTTAAGTTTATACCTAAATATTTCATCTTTTGTATGGTTATTGCAAGTGGTACTTATTTCTTAATGTCCTTTTTGTAGCTCTCATCTGATTGATTTCTAGTTATTAACTTTGTATCTTGCTACTTTTCCAAATTCCTCAATTGTTTCCAGCAGGTTTTTTGTGGAGACGTTTGGGATTTCTATATATAGGTTCATATCACCTGCAATAGCGAGAATTTCATTTATTTGCCTACTTGTAGTCCTGTGATTTCTTTTTGTTGTCTGATGGCTCTAGCTAACACTTTCGCACGATGTTGGATAAGTGTGGCCCTTCCTGGCCCCTGTTTTCAGTGGGAATGTTTCTAGCAAGTGGCTCTTGGTTTCTCATATGTGGCTTTTATTATGTTGAACAATTTTTATTCTACTCCTATTTTGTTGAGTGTTTTGAACAGAAATGGATGTTGAATATTGTCAAATGCCTTTTCTGCATCTATTGATATAATCATGTGGTTTTTATTTCTTGCCTTTTTTATGTGGTGGATTACATTTTTTTTTTTTGAATATTGAACCATCCCTGCATATCTGGATTGAATCCCACTTGGTCATGTGAATTGTTTATTTGATATGCTGATGTATTCTACTGGCCAGGATTTTGTTGAGGGTTTTAGCATCTAGTTCATGAGGGATATTGGTTTATAATTTTTAGTCTTTGTGGGGTCCTTGCCTGGTTTGGGTGTCAGTATTATGCTGGCTTCATAGGATGAGTTTGGGAATTTGTTGTCTTTTCTATATTCTGGAAGAGTTTGTGCAATATTGAAGTTAGATCTTCTTTGAATATTTGGCAGAATACCTTGCATCAGGAGGTAAGGGAGCTATCAAAGTTGATGTAGGGGGAAAACAGTGGAATGTAGTGTCTCAAGAACCAAATGAAGAAAGTGCATCAAGAAGGAAATTGCTGTAAAGGTGGCTGGAAGTCAGGAATATGCAGACGGAGAATTGACCATTTGACTCAGGATTGTGGTCTCTTGGCAAGGGCGGTTTCAGTGGAGTGGTAGAGATGCAGCATAATGGGGAGGAAGTCGATTGAAAGAAAAGACACTGGAGACAGTGCTATAAAAACAGGCAACTATGTAAGGAAGTTTTTGCTATAAAGAGGATAAAAATGGGTCAATAATTGGCAGAGAAAGTGGATTAAAATTTTTAAGATGAGGAAAATAATAAGAGGTTGACGGGAATTAGCCAGTAGAGAAAGAAAAATGGGTGTAGGTGGAAATGCTAAAGTGATGATCTTGAGGAGGTGAGAGGGGAGAGGATCTAGTGCGCTGGAGGAGAGCTCGGCAGCTTAAATGACAACATGGAGAGTCAACGAGCTCAGAGGCACAAGGGCAGCATAAGGGGTGCTGCTGGTGATTGGTGAGTAGAGTGGTGGTGGAAGTTGTAATGCTTGGTTTTTTTAACTCAGAAGAGAGCAACTTCATCAACTGGGAGTAAGGAAGATTGTAGAAGAAGGAGTGAATGGATTAAGAAGATACCGTGCAACTGCCATGCTTAGGTTTTTACTCATGACTTTGACGGAGGCCAGTTAGGGTGGTTGTACTTGGTTATTGTGTTTTCCAGCCAGATTCAGATGTTTGATTGTAGGCACAAACTGGGCAGAGACCTGGATTTAGACATGAATTTTTCCCATGGGAGTTGGACTATAACAGAGGCAAAGAAATCAAGGGTGTATGCAAGGGAATGATGAGAATGATTGAATCTGGAATTAAATATGAATGAGGAAAGATAGGAAGACAACGTTGAGGTGACAGGCGGGCAAAGATGAGAGAGTCAAGCGATTAAAGATTTCGGTACAAGAGGAGATTTGTGGGTGTTAGGATGCCAGAAAGTCTGATCTGGAAAGTTGGGCTGTGTTGTCAGAGAGTGGGCTGCAAAGAATCAGTCAGAATCCTGCTCACTCTTCTAAGTTCCTTTCTTAGCACCTTCCTTGGCAATCAAGGAGTTGACTGTTCATTTCATTCAATTCCCACCAGACTTTAAAAAAAATCATTTTGTTAGGGGTTCATACAACTTTTATCACAACCCATACATACATCACTTGTGTAAAGCGCATTTGTACATTCATTGCCCTCATCATTCTCAAAACATTTGTTCTCCACTTAAGCCCCTGGCATCAGCTCCTCATTTTT